CCTAGCGCCCCCTCCCCAGATCCCCAGGGCCAGATGAGCATCTTCAGGTGTACATTTCTAGAGACCACCTGCTCCAGGACTCCCAGACTACCCACCTGCCTTCAGTACCACCTACTAGCCCTGCATGAAGGAGTCCAGGTATTCTGCCAACACACGTACGTGCTGACCCCCATCAGCTCTTGGCCGTCCTTCCTGAACCCCCACAGGAAATGGCCCTTTGTACCCCAGGACCCTCCACTGTAACACCTGTGCACGTGCCTGCTCCCTGTAACAGACCAGACTCCGGGGCTGAAACTTCACTTCCTGGTAGGGGCCTGGACTCCAGTCCTGTCCAGCACCCCTCTGTCAGTAGAGGCTAGTGTGTTGCTCAAATGCCGGACAGGTTTCAATGATGCTTCCAGAGCCTAAGACGCACCGGAAGAAAGGCCAGGCGTTTGGCACTGAAGATCAGAAAGAGAAAACCCTCTGGGTTCCAGCCGTGGGGTCTCACGGCAGCACAGGACCGGCAGCGTTTCATCCTGCTAGCCGCTTTGGGCATGTCTCACCAGCCCCCCCAGCACAACAGACTACACCCTCCTCCAAAGTGAGACGCCCCCACGCGCAGCACAGGGGGACCCTTCGGCAATGGTTAGGGAAATGCACCGAGCTCAGACCCCAATCCCAGAAAGACCAGAGGGCAGCTTCCCATGTCAATCTTACTCCATCCTCAGGGGCCATGCCAGGCCCCCGCGTAAAACACACACGGGTCCAGTGACCAACCAGGGACGGGTGAAAAGTACGCTCGTGCAAAAGAAATGAGGGAAAAGACCACGGAGAGAAGAAACGAAAAGGCCCATGAGCCCGCTCGCTCAACTCCAGCAACAAGCCCGAGACGTGACCAAGACAGAAACCCAATGGATCCGGGAGAGGAAACAGAGGTGAACAGTCCCACGGTTATCAGAGAGCCCCCCCCTTCCCCCAAGACACAGACAATCCCTGCCTAGTTCACCGGCCCACAGCTCACTGTCGTTCCCATGCTGCCCGCACTGCGGGGCCAGCAGGAGGCCTTCACGCAGCTAGGGAGCGCGTGCAATGACACCAAAAGCCTCTATGGCAGTAGTCCTCAACCTTCCTCATGCCGAGACCCTTCATACAGCTCCTCATGTGGTGGGGACCCCCAACCATAACGTTATTTTCATTGCTCCTTCATCACTGTCATTTTGCTACTGTGATAAATCGGGCGACCCCTGTAAAAGGGTCGTTTGATCCCCAAAGGAGTTGGGACCCACAGGTTGAAAGCCACTGCTCTAAGGGTTTGCCTCTAAGGGCATTAAGGGCAACAACCCACACAGATCTGTGAGACCGTAGGCGGGAAGGAACAGGGGTTCTAGCAGCCTCAGGATGTTTCTAGGGCAGCAGACGCCAAAGTCAGAGTGAGTGCCCAACAGCAGCAGCAAGCCTTTAGAAACAGGAAGGAAAGTATCTCATCAGTTGGAATAGGCAAACTGAGGCTGCCACCCTGTTAGTCTGGGTAGACTAGAGAAACAAATTCATAAGCACACATATGTGTGTAAGAGAGTTTTCTATAAAGGGTAATTGTATAGTATGAAAACACCCAACCCAGTCCAGTCCAAGGCCGTAAGTCTGATATTAGCTCATATGTCCGATACCAATCTATAAAGTCCTCTTCAGACTCACGAAACACATGCAATGATGCCGAATGCAGGACGTTGACAGGCCAGTGGGTGGAAAGTCTTTGGATCCAGTGGTGTTGTGAGCATCTCAATGCTGACGGGTCTCTACGTGGCTTCTCTGGCTTCAGAGTTCTGGGTGCATCAGGGTAGGTCTACGTAACTTCTCCAACTTAGGGCACTAGCACAGTCCCATGTGTCTTGTCAGCTACAATGTCTCACCGGGAGTGGCGAGTCTCCCACCTCCAAGGAGGAAATACCGGAATTCCCAGAATCCTTAGGGGAAGGCTATGCCCACCCAGAAGCATCATTGGCTATGACCTGATTGACAGGCTAGACACCACCCCTACACTCTTAATCCTCACATTGACATTAGATTATGTAACTACAACACCCTCCGTCCATCCGTCACACTGTGCTGGCCTACACATCTGTCTATCCTTCTGGCTGGCCTGTCAGTCTGTCTGTCTGGCATGCTGTGCGGCTGGAAGTGATGCTAGGGTATTTAAAGTCCCCGCAGGGAGTCACTGTGGGGGAGAGGTGTGCAGCAAACCATCCAGGCTGAGAGAGTCGGAGAAAAGGCCTGGCGATCTGCTTGCTTCTTGAAAACCAACCAGTGACAGCCCTGCAGACAAACGGAAGTGCGCTCTCTCCCAGACGCACCAAAACCAAACACGCTGCCATCAAGTTGACTGCTCATAGCCAGGACACAGGAGGACTGCCCCGTGGGCCTCCAAGACAGCAAATCTTCACAGGCGTTGAAAGCCTCATCTTTCTCCCATGCCCCATACTACACCAGAATGAATCCCCCAAATCAAAGATTTAATTGGAGAGAAGAGGAGTGGGGGAGCGGCTCCAAAGGAAGAAGGATGAAGCCCGAGGCCACGGGAGATTTGACCACCAGGGAGGGAGGAGGGAGAGCTGACTCGGACTCCAGACAGGCCACCATCAAACAAAGAGCTGGCATCATCCAAACGGAGAAAAAGTTTAGAAATCTCTGCCTAGCAAAATCCCCATGAGCAAAGTTAACAGGCACAAGAGGGAGGCGAACACTGGCCACAGCTGTCACAGACAAAGGAGCCCCGGGGTTCAGTGGATTTGGGCACTGGGCTGGCTCACTGAGGCCAGCAGTTCAAAACCACCAGCAGCTCTGCGGGAGGAGAAAGGAGAGGCTTTCTCCTCCTATCAAGATGTCACCATCTCAGAAACTCATGGGTCCTGTAGGGTCTCTGTGAGTTGGCATCGGCCCAATGGCAGGGGTTTTTCGGTATCCAAGGGCTGTCTACAGAAAACAATGAACAGTCTCACCAAAAAACGGACAGAGGAAAGGGACACACAATTCACAGCACATAAGAGGGCACGCTCTGCAATGTCCGACAGGAAACGCAGCCTCACTCAGGAACGAGAGCAGCGCTGATGCGGAGGGGACAGCGAACAAGGTGCACATGGACCGCGTCACCAGTGCCACTGAACTGCTTGTGTGGAAACTGCTGAGGTGGCATGCTCAGCACCCGAAAGCAGGGACAACAGAAAAGGTATAATGCAAAATAAAGGCACCCAGACTCAACCTGGCACCTACCAGATTGGCAACAACCAAAGCATTTGCCAAGCTGCAGGCAGCGCAGTGAGATGAAACTATGCACGTGGGGGCGTTCTGTTTGGGGCTGCTAGCCACGTGAACCACAGTTCGAATGCACCAGATGCGCCTTGGGAGAGAAACGAAGCTGTCTGCACCTGTAAACATTCACGGCTTCAGAAACCCCGAGGTTTGGGTTGGTGGTGGGTGATTTGTAGTTCTACAAGGCTGTCTGCACGCTTAAAGAGCTAGTCTGGACAGCCACAAGGGCAGTTCTACCACCATGTTCTAGAGCAGCGGTTCTCAACCTGTGGGTCCCGGCCCCTCTGGGGGCGGAACAACCCTTTCACGGGGGTCGCCTGATTCATCACAGTAGCAAAATGACAGTGATGAAGTAGCAACGAAAATGATTTTGTGGTTGGGGAGGTCACCACAACACGAGGAACTGTATGAAAGGGTCGCGGCATTAGGAAGGTTGAGGAGAACCACTGTTCTATAGGGTCATTGTGAGTCAGCATCAACTTGGTGGCAGCAAGATTGGCTCTGTGGATTGGACGTTTGGCTGTTGACCACAAGGTTGGTGGTTCAAGCCCATCAGCCGCCTTGTGGGCAAAGGATGAGGCTGTCTATTTCTGTGACTATTAATGGTCTCAGAAACCCTGGATAGGGTCACCATAAGGTGGAATTGACTGGACAGCAGTAGGGTTGGTTTTCTGAATTAAGAAAAATGCACATGCCCTTCGACCCTAAGGACAGGCACAGATGTGCAGGCCATTGTGTGCACATGCTCTGTAACAGCGGGATACGAGACAACACACCTTTCTTTAGCCCACCCATCACAGAGCACCCATTCTACAGCCCACTACTCCAAAACACTGGTGAGCCCACTCGGATGCACGGGGACCCTAAAGGACAGGGTAAAACCACCCCATACCGTTTCCAAGGTCTTGGTCCTTAAAGAAAAGGAGCCCTGGAGATGTTGTGGTTCTGTATTGGGCTGCTAACTGCAAGGTCAGCAGTTCTAAACCATCAGCTGCTCCCTGGGAGAACGATGAGGTTTTCTACTTCTGTAAAGAGTGACAATCTCAGAAACCACCAGGGCCATTCTACTCTGTCCTGTCTGGTGGCTAGGAGTCCGCATCCACTCAAGAGCAGTAAACTTGGTTTAATCTCTATGGAAACTGACCACCAGGTCTTTCTCCCTCAGAGCTGCTGGTGGGCTCAAACCATGAACCTTCCCCTGGCAGCTGGGCGCTTGGCCATTGCGACACCTTTACAGGACTCCGTCGCTATGCGACTGCAGGTACAAAAATGGTGCAATATGACTATCTACAAGCCAACCTCAAGATAAAGCGAGATGCAGATGGTTTGTTTAAGGAGGGGAATGATCTGCACGGTACACTTGCTGGGTGGCATCCGAGGGCCCTGGGGTGGGGGTGCGCGGGTCAGGGACGGCTAAGGGGAGGAGATGGGCGCCGAGTAGGTACCGAGCCTGTCCGCGCGGCCTTACCCTCCTTCCCCGCCAGGCTGGCCGCTGGCCCGGGGCCGCGCTCCCCTCCGTCCATGGCAGCTCTGTCTGGAGGTTCCTGCGGCAAGAAGGGTCACAGGTCAGCGGGTGAGGGCGCCAGGGCCGCCCAGCCCCCCGCGGCCAGTGGCAGAGGAGGGCAGCGTGCCGCCGGCCGCTGTACAGAGCCTGAGCCCCAGGCCGGACACCCAGGGTAACGGAACCCCGAGCTCTCCGGCCGCCCTGGGTCCCCGTCCCGGAGCACGCCAGGGGGCCTTCCCGCCCAACCTGACCCACCGACCGAAGCGATCCTCACTCCGAGCGGCACCGGCAGAAGCGCCTCCGCTGAGGATTTAAACGCCGCGCGAGGCCACTCGGGCGGCGATTGGCCAGTTTGAAAGGGCTGCACGGGCGTCAGCCGCGAAGCATCCTGGGGATTGTAGTCCCGGCGCCTGCTGGAGGAGACGGCGCGCGTGCGCACTGCCTCCGCACCGCGGATTGGTTGCCGCAGCCGGAAAAGCTCTGGTCTCCCCGACTTCGCCAGGGCGCGTCGAGTCGTGGGCGGAGCTTGGACCGGGTGTTGGAACCACTTATCCTAGGGGACTATAGACCAGCCTTCATGCACAGATGGACAGAATAATAACTAAAATGGATTAAAAATGGATAAAAGTCAAACTCTTATCTAGGATCCCTGGGAGGATGGCAGTCTGAACCCAGCCAGCAGTGCCACGGAAGAAAGGCCTGGTGATGGGCTGTACAGGCAAGAAAATCCCATGGAGCGGATCTACTCCGTAGCTTGTGGGGTGGCCTTAGCTCATAGGTTACAGGGCCAGTGAGGTGCCTTATTCTGGGTGCTTAGCTCAAGACCGAACATCACTCCAGTTACCAGGGTGAAGATGCAGGGGGCAGAGCCTGGGAAGGTAGTTCCTGAGGAGGGGCATCACCAGGGGTGAAGAGGAGCTATTCATTTGGGGTTGGTGGGTGTACGTGCCCGTGGAATATCGAGGCACCATACACACCAGTCACCCCATGTAACCATGGCCCCTCTTCACTCCTGACCCAGAGTCCAGCTCCCCAGGAGACTGGGTTTCTAGAGGGCAGGGACCAACCTCCCTCATCACTGTGCCCCAGCGTTGCCCACCCCAGGGCAGGAAAGATGGGGTGTGTGATAGTTACATAATCTAGTATCAACTTGAGACAAGAGTAAGGGAGTGGAGTTTAGCCTGTCAATAAGGTCGCAGCTTGATGACCTCATTTGGAGGCGTGAAGGAGATAAATAGCTCACTGGAGGCCAGATACACTCTCTGCTTGTCTCCCTGTGAGACATTCCTGCTGACAACCCACATGGGAACACAATGATGGAGCCAGAGCCCTGGAGCTGGGAGCTGTGGAGACCCACGCCAGCACCAAGATGCTTCCACCGCCACTGCATCCACAAGACTTTCCATACACTGGCCTGTGATCTTCATATATGCGACATAATTGCATGTGTTTGCATGAGTCTGAAGAGGAAGTTATAGATGGGTATCGGACATATGGGCCAATGTTGGACTTATGGGCTGGGATGTGTCCCAATATACAATTGCCCTTTTATATAAAGCTCTTTCTTGGACACATATGAGTGTCCAAGATGGTCATGCAGGTGGCAGGAGGCTGGCCTGCCCACCGTATCCCCTAATGGCTCATCCCAGCATCGCTGGTCCCCTTTTTCTATCTAAGGGTTCCCTCTGCAACTTCCAGCCTCAAACCCACCCTGATGACTGACGTGCTAGGTCCCCAGGCCCCCCTGACCCTGACTCTTGGTGAGCTCTGTTCGTATTTGCTAACTAGGATCCCAGTACTGGAGAAGGTGCCCCTCCCAGCTACGGAGATCAGTCAGGAGTTAGAGAAAGCCAGTTTTCAGAGGGCTCAGCGAGGAGGAAATGATGACCTCAAGGAACTTGGAGGCCCAGGGGTGGCGCCAGCTTCAGGTCCATCTCTCAGGTGCCCATCCTCTGCCTAGCCTTAGGAGACCATATGTCAGACCCTCCCCAAGGCAGTGGGCCTGTCGCCCATGCTAACTCCACAGCCCAACCTGCTGTCATCAAGTCCCAGCTCGCAGCAATCGTGTGTACCACATGGTAGAACTGCCCCAGGGGCTAGCTAAGGGCGAGGACTTGCTAAGAGTCAAGGGCTAGCTAAGGGTCAGGGGGTTGCTAGGGTCAGGGGGTGGCTAAGGGCCTGGGGGTGGCTAAGGGCCTGGGGGTGGCTAAGGGTCAGGGGGTGGCTGAAGCTATAATCTTACAGCAAAGTGCCTGATTTTTCTCCCAAGGAATGGCTAATGGGATCTAGCTGCTCGACCTGAGTTAGTATCTTAACCCATGGTGCCACCAGGCCTCCCCCATCAGGCCTAGACTTGCGTTAATTCATGGGCCACCAGATAATATGATGAGTCTTAGGAAGGTCTGGGGGAGCTGGCCCCAGCATGTGAGCCTGAAGCTCAGTGCAGCTCTATGCAGGGGTCCTTAAACTATGGCCTGCGGGCCACATGCGGCCCACTGAGGACATTTATCTGGGCCGCCCGGTGTTTTTGCCCCGTTTTGCTTTATACTTCAAAATAAGATATGTGCAGTGTGCATAGGAATTTATTCATCTTTTTTTTAAACTCTAGTCTGGCCCTCCAACGGGTCTGAGGGACAGTGAACTGGCCCCCTGTTTAAAAAGTTTGAGGACCCCTGCTCTAGAGAGTCAGGGGAAGAGGCTCCTGGCCCCCTCTTCCCTCCGTTAGCTTGTGGAACACCCAATAGCTGCTCAGGAAGCTCTAGAGCAGCAGTTCTCCACCTGTGGGTTGTGACCCTCTTGGGGGTCGAATGACCCTTTCACAGGGACACACGATTCATCACAGTAGCAAAATGACAGTGATGAAGTAGCAACGAAAATAATTTTCTGGTTGGGGGTCCCCACCACACGAGGAACTGTATGAAAGGGTCGCAGCCTGAGGAAGGTTGAGGACCACTGCTCTAGATCCTCACTGCTTCCGCCTCTTCCCTGTGACCACTGCTCAGCCTTTGTCGACTGTCTTCCTCCCCACCACACGGGTTGGCTCCATCTGCTTGGTTCATTTGACAGTTTTCACGGACAGCTACTCTGTGCAGGCCACCTGCTGGGGGTGCATCACCCTCAGGTGGGCAGGTGAAAGGGTTAGGATGTGGGAGGACACCTACCGGACTGCAATGGCCGATGGCACCTGTTGTGGAGTAGGGGCCCTCCAATGGGGGATAAGGGCCCAATGGGCCTCATTTGGTATCAGGAGGTGGGCTGAGGGAGTGAGAGGGGGACAGGGCAGGAGGGGACAGCTCAGGATGGCACGGCAGGCACCTGGAATCCTACAGGATGACCCATTTTCTTCACTAGGTGCCATGCTCGGCCCCACCCCCAGGTCAGGAGAAGCCCATCTTTCCAGACCCCGGTCCAGGCCCGGCCCATTGGGGACACCTGAAGGCGCCTGGCGAGAGAGTGGATGAACGGACTCCTGCATTCATTCTGGTCCCAGGGGTCTGTCGGACCCACTGAGAGTGGCGGCACAATGGTTATGCGGGGCTAACCATTAGGTCTGCAGTTCAAAACCACCAGGTGCTCTGCAGCGAAAAGGCGAGGCGTTCTACACCCACAAAGGGTCACCATCTGAGAACCCCGCGGGGCAGCTCTGCCCTGTCCCAGAGGGTCGCTGTGCGTTGGAATGGGCTCACTGGCAGTGAGTTTGAGTTTTGCTTTTTTTTTTTTTTTTGTGCCATGTAGACCCCATCACCGGAGGACCCTTCGTCCCTCCCAGGACGCCAGCCCCCTCATTTCAGGGGGAGATTCCTAATTTCCTGATGGAAAGTGCAGGATAGTGCCCTCTGACCTCCCTCACAGGAAGGCTGGCACCAGCACAGTGGACAAACAACCAGCCCCCACCCCGAGGCGCTCTGAGGACCGGAGGCCTGGGCCGAGGGAGGCAGAGGTGCAGGCAGTGGTCGTGTTTATTACAGCAGGCTCAGATGTGGCAAAGGCTGAGTGTCACAGTGTAGGGGCAGCTCTGAGCTTGAACCCCGGAAAGTTGCGTCTGCAGGACTATGGAGCTGACACAGGAAAGGAGCCAGAGACTTTGGGAGGATGGAGCAGGCAAGCCCAAGTCAGCATCCCACTCAGAGGGCCCTCCAGGTGGCAGAAGGCCCGCCCCATGGTGTGTCTGTCTGGAGGAGAGGGGCCGGCGGGGTCCTCTGCCTAAGGAAGGGCAGTTGGGCCTGTGGCGAATCCTCCTGGGGCCTTCAGTAGCTGGGCCCCTTCCATCTGAAAGCGAGACCCTGCCAAGAATAAGATACGGGCAATTCCGGGGAGCTAAGACCTGGGCAGCCTATGGAGGGGGCTACTGCTAAAGGGCTGGGCTAGAAGTTTCTCTGGTCCCAGCTGCCTGCCCCCACCAGTCCTCCCACCTCCCAGTCAGGAAGGGTCCCCTTGGGAAACACAATTTGTAAGGCAGATTAAGGTGTGCACTCTGACACCTGCACACCGATCGGAGGACGTCCCTGAATTACAAGTCAAAGTCATCGGTGTCCCCTTTTGTCATGAGGCCTGGTGTAGACAGGCTCACCCACTGGCAGCTCCGGGGACCCTAGTTGGCTTCCAGCACCACCATCTGGTAGGGCTGCACCTTTCCCAGCCCAGGGAGGGTTCCCTGGAGGGTGGAGGCCGTCACTGCAGGAGGTGGCGCGCAGCGGCCTTGCGAATGAGCCGCTCCGTCAGGGGCGAGCCGGGCTTCAAGGCGTCACGCTCCATCAGAAGGCTCCTGTGGAGACAGGCAGGGGTTCTATTGGGGAACCTTCTGGAAGTCAGGGATGGGGTGGGCCTCAGCCACAAGGCAGGTAGCCTGGGCGGGATCAGGGCAGACCTGAAAACAAGACGCTGCTTCCGTGGTTGCTGGAGGGATGGAGGGAGGTCCCCCTCTGTGAGGTGACAGAACAGGCAACCACGCAGAGGAGAGGAGAACCAGGTGCAGGTGGGAGACTTGTGGGGAGGGGGGTGGTAGAAACCAGTCTTCCAGAACACAGCTGTCACCCTCTGCAGGCAGGAGTGTGACCAGGGCATCCA